AGGCCCCGGGGCGACGGGGATCGGCCGGCAGACCCAATGGGAGGGAGGAAGGAGCCCGGGGCAGGGCGCTTCTGGTGGCCGTGGGTGGACGAGCCAAAGGGGGGAGAATCCTCACCCCCCCCCCCGTCCACCGTGCCGGGGCGCTAGTGGCCCCGGCGCTCAGGGCCCCAGGCTGGGACCTGGAGAGAGGGCGGGACCGGGTCCCCCTCCCTCCACACGGGGAGCGTCCCGCACCCGACAGCCACACTAGACGAAAGGGACCAACCTAGAACCCCGGACTGGGGAGGACTTAAAGCCGGGGGCTTCGGCCCCCCCCCGCTCGGTGGGTACTCGCTGCCAGGGTTCGCTGACCCCCCCCTTCCAGCCGGGAGGGGGTGATCGCACCCAAGGGGCCCCCCCCTATCGGGGATCTGGGAACGACACCAGACAAAAGGAGAACAAAAGGGGTCCGCAGACCCCCCCTCTCGGACTGGGAGGGGGTGATCGCACCCCAAAACCCTCACAGAAAGGTTTTGAGATGTCGAAACTCAGTGGAGAGAGGGTTGGATGCAGATTACTTTTGTTCCCTTCTCTCGCTCATGCAACACGAGTCTCTTCTTCTTCTGCACTGTGAGAAAATTAACCTCATTCCATTTCAACCTCTTTGGTTGACTGCTTGTCTTCATCAGTTACCATAAGCACAACCATCCCACAGCCCCCATGCCAAATTAGACACTTAAAAAGGGGCAACCAGACCAGACTTGCCCTGAAATTGGTTTTTCTTTTCCAACAGCTAAGTACAACTTTGGCACAGAAAGCAAATAAGTGAGCTGATAATAATGGTTGTGATTAACTACCCAGGTTCTTTCCCATCAGAGCAGCAAGGCTAAGTGCACATGCCTAATTAAAACAACTGGAAAGAAGACAACACAGAATAACACAGTCAAATCATAAGAACATAAGAATGGCTAGTTTGTGGCTATGTCTACATTACAGAGTTTTTTCAGAAAAGCAGACGTTTTTCCGAAAAAACTTCACTTACGTCCACACTGCAATCGCGTTCTTTCGGAAAAAACATCAAAAGAACAGAGGGGTTTTTCTGACATCGGTAAACCTCTTTCTCCAAGGAAGAACTCCTTTTCCAAAAGAGCTCTTTTGGAAAAAAGCATGTGTGGACGGGGAAGAGGGAGTTCTTTCAAAAGAAGAGGAAAGAGGAAAAAGCACAGGTGTCCTGGTGGCCACTCTGTCCATACTAATCACAGCTTATATGTGAGATAGCATCCATTCAGCATGGATGCTCTCTTTCAGAAGAAGTTTTTTCAGAAGTTCTCTTCTGGAAAAGCTTCTTACAAAAGAAGCCTGCAGTCTAAGCATAGCCTGGGTCAGACTACAAGTTCATCTAGCACAGAACGCTGTCTTCCAGTGGTGGCCAATGCCAGGTGCCCCAGAGGGAATGAACAGAACAGGGAATCATTAAGTGATCCATCCCCTGTGGTGCATTCCCAACTTCTGACAAACAGAGTCTAGAGACACCATCCCCATAGCCTGGTTAATAGCCATTGATGGACCTATCCTCCATTAATTCATCTAACTCTTTTTTGAACCCTGTTATGGTCTTGGCCTTCACAACAACCTCTGGCAAGGAGTTCCACAGGTTGACTGTGCATTGTGTGAAAAAGTACTTTCTTTTGTTTGTTTTAAACCTGCTACCTATTAAGTTCATTTGGTGACCTCCAGTTCTCATATTATGGGAAATAGTAAATAACTCTTCTTTATTCACTTTTTCCACAGCAATCATGATTTTATAGATCTCTATCATATCCCCCCATAGTCGTTTCTTTTCCAAACTGGTTACAATTTTATTAATTTCTCCTCATGTGGCAGCCATTCCATTTCCTTAGTAATTTTTGTTGCCGTTTTCTGAAGTTTTTCCAATGTCAAGCTATCTTTTTTGTGATGAGGCAACTACATCTGTACGCAGTATTCAAGATGTGGGTGTAAATGGGGGTGTGACGGGCTGTCACTGGTCGGGGGGCGGGGCGG